CACCCTCAGAGGGAAGAAGTTCTTCCTCATCTTCAGCTGGAGCTTCCTCTGCTTCAGTTTGTGCCCATTGCCCCTCGTCCTGTCACTGGGCACCACTGGAAAGAGTCTGGCCCCGTCCTCCTGGCCCCCACCCTGCAGATATTTAGGGCCATTTCGAAGGTCCCCTCGCAGCCTTCTCTTCTCCAGGCTGAACAAGCCCAGCTCCCTCAGCCTCTCCTCGCAGCAGAGATGCTGCAGTCCCCTACTCATCCTCGTAGCCCTCCGCTGGACTCTCTCCAGTAGCTCCTCATCTTTCTTGAACTGGGGCGCCCAGCACTGGACACAGCACTGCAGATGGGGCCTCCCCAGGGCAGAGCAGAGGGGGAGGAGAACCTCCCTCGCCCTGCTGCCCACACTCCTCTTAATGCACCCCTCTGAGTCCTGAGCTGGCAGGACTCAGAGACAGCACATTTCCCTGCTCTGCACTGACCAGTTCCCCACAGACACAAAGAAAACGGATAAAACCCGTTTGCCTAACATTTTTACAAGCCAAAATCAAAGCCGGGAGCCAGTTGTGGGCTGGTGATCCAGCTGGACTTTCAGTTTTTCAGCCTAACTCTAGAGCTGAACTTGGATTCCATCCATCCCAGAGGAAGAGAGACTGGATCCAGCTGTGGGGAATTCAGGGCAGGACCTTGCCCCACCATGGCATGTAGGGTGGGGATGCTTGGGTGTCACGCAAGCTGTGTCCTCCCCTCATCACACACAGACCCACAGCCTTTCTGGGGGCCACCGGCAGTGCAGGTGGGTCCTGCCCATGGGGGTGACAGGTCCTCCGAAGGACACGGACGTGGCCATCTGGGATAGCTGCTGGAGGACCCGTGAGTTTCAGTGCCTCTCCAAACCCCCCGAGCTGATGTTTGCTAACGAAGCTCCACTTCTCCAGGCAGTTCCTCTCTTTTTGGGGGCTGTATGAGCTCATTTGAGAATCTCCTTTCTGGGAATCAGTCTGGGAACATCATCTGGAAACTTTGTACATGAAGGGAAGAAAACCCAACAGCCAACAGCCATTGCTTATGTCCAATATGGAAAGCTCTGGTTTCAGCTTGCGTTCCTAAGTCTGAATGATTGGCTTGTTTAATTAAGCAAGCCTGTTGACATTACTCCCTTGTAGAAGCAAAGAGGAAGCCCTGGACTAATGAATAAAACAAATGACAGCTTCTCCCTGCCCCAAGCCCTGATTCCCTGACCAAATTGGGAAGCTCTCCCCCAAAAACTGCTGGGACGGGGCATGTTGCTGCAAGCTGGATGAACCTGCCATCTCCCCAGAACACATCCCCTGGGTGGGACAGGGGGTTTTCTAGGCGAGGGGGGGCCGTGCCCTCTTGCCAAGGCACCAGCTTAATCCCCCATATGCTGATAAGGTCACGCCGGGATCCACGCTCCTCCCTCCTGTGTGTTGTCTGAGACCGTTGGCTCTCTTGGCCCTATTTATAGTGCGGTGATAGGATCAGGGGGAATAAGAGTTTAGTGTCCCCTAAATCACACCCCACTCGTCATGGCCAGTTGGTGCTTGCTGCTCTCTGCTCTCGCCGCCGGAGGTCTTGGCCAGGACTTTTGAAGGTATGTTGGGAGCTGGGATCCCTCCTTGCTGGGAGCTGGGGTGCTGCTGGGGAGCCATGGCATCACTTCCAGTTCCCTGTCCTCACCGGAGCGGGACTGGGATGGCTCTTGGTCAGGAGAAACCTTGGGAGCAGATTCCACAGTAGTGTGGCCAGCAGGACGAGGGAGGTTCTCCTTCCCCTCTACACTGCCCTGGTGAGGCCTCATCTGGAGTACTGTGTCCAGTTCTGGGCTCCCCAGTTCAAGAAGGATGAAGAGCTACTGGAGAGAGTCCAGCAGAGGGCTACAAGGATGCTGAGGGGGCTGGAGCATCTCCACTACGAGGAGAGGTTGAGGGAACTGGGCTTGTTCAGCCTGAAGAAGAGAAGGCTGCGAGGGGACCTTATAAATGCCTACAAATATCTGAAGGGTGGGTGTCAGGAGGATGAGGCCAAGCTCTTTTCAGTGGTGCCCAGTGACAGGACAAGGGGCAATGGGCACAAACTGAAGCACAGGAAGTTCCGTCTGAACATGAGGAAGAACTTCTTCCCTCTGAGGGTGACGGAGCACTGGAACAGGCTGCCCAGGGAGGTTGTGGAGTCTCCTTCTCTGGAGATATTCAAGACCCGCCTGGACAAGGTCCTGTGCAGCCTGCTGTAGGTGACCCTGCTTCGGCAGGGGATTTGGACTAGGTGACCCACAGAGGTCCCTTCCAACCCCATCCATTCTGTGATTCTGTGATTCTGTGATTCAGAGCATGATGCCATGGCTGGGAGCCCTGGTGACAGGCAGGGATCAGAGGGAAGCTCTGGCTGCAGAAGGAGCCCCGATTTCTCTGGATAAAAGGGACCCAGTCACGTATTTGCCTTGCCTGAATGGTGGCCAGACCACCATCCCTCCATCCCCCCTTGGACCTGAGCCCATGTGGTGCAACCAGCCCACAGCCAGGGTCCATCCAGACTGCCCCTGGGATGGGGAGGTGGTCTAACCCTGCCCAAGGGTGGGCTGGTGGTCTGGGCTGCCCATGGACACTGTTCACTCGATAACTTCCATTTACAGTTACATCTGCCAAGGAGAAGTCATAGACAGGGACATGGAGAGAGCCCCGAGTCCATGCCCTGTGCCCCTGGGCTGTGGGGATGGCTGGAGGGGCCCGGGGAAGGTGAGGGGACCTGTTGGTTTTCTGTGGGCGGGCAGCATGGTGGGGAGGGGTGGCTGGTCATCCTTCCTCTCCCACGGAGGTCCCTTCCAACCCCTACTATTCTGTGATTCTGTGATTCTGTGATTCTGTGATTCAGAGCATGATGCCATGGCTGGGAGCCCTGGTGACAGGCAGGGATCAGAGGGAAGCTCTGGCTGCAGAAGGAGCCCCGATTTCTCTGGATAAAAGGGACCCAGTCACGTATTTGCCTTGCCTGAATGGTGGCCAGACCACCATCCCTCCATCCCCCCTTGGACCTGAGCCCATGTGGTGCAACCAGCCCACAGCCAGGGTCCATCCAGACTGCCCCTGGGATGGGGAGGTGGTCTAACCCTGCCCAAGGGTGGGCTGGTGGTCTGGGCTGCCCATGGACACTGTTCACTCGATAACTTCCATTTACAGTTACATCTGCCAAGGAGAAGTCATAGACAGGGACATGGAGAGAGCCCCGAGTCCATGCCCTGTGCCCCTGGGCTGTGGGGATGGCTGGAGGGGCCCGGGGAAGGTGAGGGGACCTGTTGGTTTTCTGTGGGCGGGCAGCATGGTGGGGAGGGTTGGCTGGTCATCCTTCCTCTCCATCACATCTCTCCTTGCTCTGGTTCCCATTTCAGGGACTGATGGCGTAGAGGGATGCCCCATCCAAGGAATTCAGCTCCTTTCTGTGCACTGTCCTGCACAGGCAGAAAGTCCTGCTTGAGAGGCTGACCACCCCCAGCCAGACCTCAGCACCTTCCAAGCCAACCAACAGCTCTGCAGGAGTGGAAACGCAGCCCACGAAGCTGGTGGAGCCTGGCTAGGAGGGCGGAGGAGCTCCTACTGGAGTTGGTCCCAGCTTGGTGGCCACGGGGTGACAGCAGGGATGATGCTTTATGGGGACAGGCGGGTCCCATGTCTGCAGTGACCTCCTTAGCCTTGGGATCCCTACTGATGCTCTGCTCCCATACAGCTGCAACCTCATGTGCTAGCTCTCAGGAGAAGACCTGGGGTTATGCCCTGGGGACTTCCACCTTTCTCCCTGGCATTGTTTGATGACGAGACACGTGGGATCATCCCAGGGGACCATCCTGATGGAGATCTGCCCCAGTGCTAGCTCTGCCAGGGCTGGTTTGCTATGCCTCATCCTCTTGGCCACGCTGAGCAGCCCCTCGCTGCAGAAATCCCTGCCCGCGGGGTACAGAGACCACGAGGGTCCCCAGGAGGGCACGGGCCTGATCCAGTGCGGGGAGTACAGCAACCAGGTGCTGCCCAATGGCCGCTGTAAGATCGTGGCCACGCTGCCACAGGGGGATGAGCAGAGGTGCCCGGACATGTTTCGTTGCACCGATGAAGTGTCCTACTGGCTCCATGAGAATGAGGAGCGCAAGCAGCAGGTCCTGGAGCTGCGGGAGCTGATTTCGGAGCTGCAAGAGGAGCTGAGGAACCACCGGCACCGCATCAAAGTCCTCGAGCTCCAGGTAAAGAGCTGCCCTTTGCAGACCCCCTCCACGCAGGTGTCCACAGTCCCTTCCCATGGTCTCTTCCAGCTCCCAGCAGCTGCAGGGGTAGGACACCCGGTGAAGCATATGGTGCTCTGACCATGGGCTGGGATATCCATTATTAAACCCCAGCTGCTCCTACTGTGATGGCTCAGGAGCCTTCCAGGGCTGATCTTTCTTAACATTAGCCACAAACCCTTCAGTGTTTTCTCTGCGCTACCTCCTCCAACTTCGAGCCTGCGTAGGAGGGGTTGCTGATCCATCCCATTGCCCATAGTGGGATCCCAGACCAGAACTGGAGTTTTGGGTGGCCAGTGAAGGACCACAGCTCTGATGGCTGTGGCTGAGCAGGAGAAGCCCTGACCTCCAGCCCGTGGCACCCTTCCTCCAATCTCCTTTCTGGTGCTCGTCCCACCTCGGCTCCATTCATCAGCCCCGCAGCCTGAAGCTTCACACTAATAAATTTTTTCCAGCCTCGTCTGGCATCTCTGAAGCTCTCAGCTGTTTGGCACTGCCCCGTGGTTGTGCCCAGCAAATACTTGGCTTGGCTGTTGGCAGGGGAGGAGGAGGGTGAGTTTTTGCTGGCCGTAGGAGTCGTCTCCCAGCTGAGATATCTTACTGGGCTGTTGATGAGATGCACAGAAGAACCAGCAGCAATGTAATGCTGTCATCTGGAAAAGCCCCGAGACCGCCGGGTGAATAGCATCCTTGTCTTGGCTCCTGGAGGAGATGAGGTCTGATATGGTCTGGCTCTGCGGCTGATTTATTCTCCGTTTGGTTTCCTTTCATCCTCGCCCTTGGGTTCCCGGTTTCGAAAGCCTCATTGGAGCAGCCCACGGGGAGATCGAGCCTGTGCTGGAGGCTGCAGGGCCGATGGCCGTGCTGCTGGGTGGGCATCTGTGCCGTGGGTGTCTCCACGGGAGCGAGATGTTCCTGGTGTGACAGAGGAAGGGAGGGGAGGGGGCAAGTGAGGCAGGATGGGTGCTCGTGCTCAGGCAGACCCGCTCCGTGCCCCTCACCCAGGGTCCCTGTCCCCCATCCTGCCTTCTCACCCGCTTTCCACTGCACCTCTCCCATTTTCTCCTTGCACTTGCACTGGGACAAGCTGGTGCAAGAGGTCTTCCGTCTCCTGACTTCCCACATCCATCCCCTGGTGACATTTTGTCCCTGTTTAATCTGTCCTTCCCAATCCCAGCTGCCTGCACTGGCACCAAAACCCCCTTCTGTGCTCCCCGGAGCTGCAGCTCTCGCACTGAGCTCTCCGGTGCAGAGCCAAGGAGGGAGATGGATGGAAATGCACTAAATATTTTCCCTGCAGTGTTCACGCTCTTAATCCGTTCTTCATTTCCAGGTCTGAAATGACCCCTGTAAAGACAAGGTGTTTGGTCCATGGTGGTTGTGCCGGGTCTTGTCAGAGTCAGAGGGAAGAGGGAGCAGAACCAATCTCCCTCCAGAGACAGAACCATAGAATGGTTTGGGTGGGAAGGGACCTTAAAGCTCATCTGGTTCCAAGCCCCCTGCCATCAGCAGGGACATCTTCCACCAGCCCAGGTTGCTCAGAGCTCCATCCAACCTGGCCTTGAACCCTGCCAGGGAGGGGGCAGCCACAGCTTCTCTGGGCAGCCTGGGCCAGGGCCTCACCACCCTGGAGGATGGCTGACCTTCTGGGCTGCGAGATGGCAGGTGGCTGGAGGTGGCTGTAGAAGGAGCTGAGCTGAGGTGTTTAGACCCCTCATACATGAACATACTCATATATATGGACATGCAATTAAGCATACACGTGTATATGCCCATACACGTATATGCACATACACACAGACATGTCCGTGCACACGCGTGTGTACCCTGACCTAGACCTGTGAGCCCTGCGGCCCGTGTCCCTCCAGTTGCAGGCACTTCAGCCCTGCAGCACTCACAAGTAGGAGAGAGTGAGATTACCCTGAAGAAAAAGAAGCTAAGGAAAAGACTCCATGAGAAGAGAAGACAGACTGCAGTGCCAAGGCTTGGTTGGACGAGGGAAGCTGCTTTACTCGTGTCCAGACCTTTTGAACTCCCCCATCTCTCCATTTTCCTACACTCATTCCCCAACCCATCCACCCTGACCCCCTCTCCTTTCCGCACCTTTAGCCTTTCCCCTCAGCATCCCATAATATGTCTCGCAGAGTCCCACAAGCCCGTAACGCTCCTGATAATTGTGTTTCCCCCCTTCTTATCTGCTGCAGGGCTCAGGTGGCCCCTGTTCAAGGCCATGCCCCAGCAGATCCCTCCCTGGCCCATCAGCAGCGTCTGAAGCCTCTGCTCGTCCTTGTTGTCTCCCTTATCACCTGCCTGGTCATTTCTGTCATTTTTTTAGTTTATTATCCCTTTCCCTGCTATTTGCTATTTCTTTTTTTGTAATGAATCATCCTTAGACAGATAGCGGATGCTCTCACAGCATGCCTTGGCTCTCCTGCCCATGCCTGGCAGCTGGGGAGAAGCTGGTGGACAGGGATGCTTCTGGAGCAGCAGCAAAGAGTGGGATTCCTCCTACCCACCTCCAGCGTCTGCCATGCAAGGGTCTCTGTGGGATCCAGAGGATCTCGCAGAGATCTGAGCAATGAATGCAGACACAGATGCTGCTAGGACCTCTTGGGTGTCTTCTGGAGCATGGGATGAGTTGGGAGAGCATGTGTCTGCTCAACAGGAGCCCAGCTGAGCAGCTCTGAAGGAGTCGTGTCTGCTGCGGGGTGCTGCTGGTCTCCTGACCTTAAAAGGAGAGCAGAGGGACACAGGGTTGGTGAAGTGGATAGAGAACTGGCTGAATGGCAGAACTCAGAGGGCTGTCATCAGCGGCGCTGAGTCTAGTTGGAAGCTGGTGACAAGTGGTGTCCCTCAGGTGTCAGTACTGGGCCCAGTCTTGTTTAACTTCTTCATCAATGACCTGGATGAAGAGTTAGAGTGCACCCTCAGCAAGTTTGCTGATGACACCAAACTGGGAGGAGTAGTGGATACCCCGGCAGGCTGTGCTGGATCCAGTGAGACCTGGACAGGCTGGAGAGTTGGGCAGAGAGGAACCTGATGAGGTTCAACAAGGGCAAGGGCAGGGTCCTGCACCTGGGGAGGAACAACCTCATGCAGCAGTACAGGCTTGGGGTGGACCTGCTGGAGAGCAGCTCTGCAGAG